TTCGAAATGACATTGACAGTCAGGACGACCATAAAATTGATCAGTAGGAATTAACCAATAGGAATTGACCAATAATTCTCTTAGCATATTGGATGAATATCTTAACAAACGTCTGGACAACAGTCTGCTACTTACTACTACTTATAACTTTCGTTGTGAGTAGTACCGACCCTAACCAGAAATTTAAAAAAATCAATATTGTTTAGATTACAAGTTCATCTATTCAATTTTTCATCGTTGACACCATTCGGTGACTCATTCATTGACTATGAATTGAGATATCGAGTTCAAAATTCAATTTTTTTTAAATTTTATTTAAAAATTTGGTCATGTTATTATATAAATGGTTGAATTACAGTCGGGAGATTCATAGTATTAATAACGCACAGTTTAAATAGATTTATCGAATATAATAATAATAGCGATCATAGAGTTGAAGTCATTAAAGCCTTTCAGAATAATCAAAATTCTTACTGCTGAGAGTTATGGAGATCAGTGATTTTACTCATTGAAATCATGAATCGATCATTGTTTTAGACCATCAACATTAGAAACCTGGAAGCATTGTTTAGACGGCCGTTTCGTCCTGGTATGAGACTTATCAGCATTGTGACTAGTAGGATTCGTGGATGCATCATGTGTAAAAACACTGATCTTCATAACTCTAATTGAAAAAATCGTAAATATGCTCACTAGCGACTAGCTACATGAGGAGATTGTTCGAGTTCTAATAAGAAAAACGTGACCAGTGGAGTTCAAGCCTGTGTCAGGTGTAGTCAGTAACTACCGAAGACTGATGGTTGGGGTAACGTAAAATCCCTAGACTGGCCAGAGTTAGACATTAACGACGTCGGATGCCGGCTAAGCACTGGTCCAGAGGTTAAGCGTTGGTGCGAAAGAACGAATGCCTTGGTTTCCAATCCGGCGAGTTGCGGAAGTCGTGGACGCGCACTGCCACTGATGGATAGTCCCATACCAGGACCAAGCGGCTGTCCAGTGTTTCCAGGTTTCAAATGATGGTAGTCTAACAATGATTGATTGATTATATCGATGTGTGATGTTATTCCTTGGTGTACACTTATTTCATATCCATAGTTAGGATTGTGATTTTAGGTTATCAATAATTGAGGAGAGAATCCATGAAAATAGATATATATTAATTTTTTTATTCTGAGACTTTACGGGAATGTTACTGGAATCCACTGTTGTCCACTATCGATTTCTAGTTAGTAACGTTTGTAATCTAATAGCTGTATAAAGGCAATCGTCATAGGATGTACACCTATCAAATCAACTAATCAATTTTATTTCTAAAAATTGATGGGAAGATTGAAATACCTAATATGAAGGAATTACTATTCACACCATTGCACAAATCAGTATCTATCTGAACTCAATAGCTAAGTGAATAAAGCAATCTCATTTGAAGTGGATAGTAAAAGAGTTCCAGTCCCTGGGTAAACATCAACCCTATGGGATGGGAGTATATCTTTGATAGAGATGAACCCCGGATATGACGAAACGTGCGTCTTGGATTTCACTATCAATCACTCACTGCCTATTTCATTGAATGGATGTTTGTAAATCAATAGCTATTATATCAAGGCGGTTCATACAGAATGTACAAATAGGTTAAAACAGATTAAGAACCAACTGCCACTGCTAACTATCTGATAGCGTTCGTCACTAGGTAAGCTTGAAGCTATATTACGAGTTCACTTTAGTCAATAAACGCGAACGAAGCAATCAACCAGCGTCTAGGTAGGCTACCTTGAATCCCAAACTGCAAAACAGAAAACTTGGTTAGCGTAGAAAGTACATTCTACAACACCCAGCAATCACACAATACAATCAAGCACACAACTCTCGTTTATTTATACATCACAGAAACTCCCTTGGGACAGTCACGAAAATAGCACATTAAAATACTCAGCAGTCAATCACAGCCATGCATTTTCCTGATTGGAAATGTAATCTCAAGGTCAGCTAACTGATCAGCCCATGCTCGCAAACTTGAAATCCAAAATAAGGCAATTATCAAGCGAGTTCTGGGGATCTAACATCCCTAACACCTCCTCTTTATATCCGGGCTTGGGACCGGCAGTAACCCTAGACAGGTTCCAGAAGGAGTAATCAAGCCTCTATGCTAATATATATATATATATATATATATATATATTTATAACAGTAAAGATTAGAACTAAATTTGCATACAAATCTAAGTGTCCTTTTTTATTCACAAAACAATTAGAAATGACACGATGATGATTCAAATTACGTAACAATAGAACTGACGGTTAAAATGTCAATAAAATCGAAGTTTAGCAACATTTCAAAGGGTAGTTAGAAAAGTTATCTCTGCAAAAGGTCACAAAGCAGATTACGAAGTTGTACAAACCTATTTTTTCATGCATACAAAGATTCAGGTTTTTTAATGATATGCAGTATTTCTCTGATTTGCGTTCTATGTAAAGATTGAATTCTACAGCAAATTGTGCGACGAATTTTATCAATTATTTTTATCTGTCTAATGACAGTCAAGAGTTTCTTAATGATTAATTTCATATTTTCACTCCTTTGATCAACTATAAAGTGCGATGTTCTGACATACAATGATACATTTATCTAGTTGTACGCGCCCAAAAAGAAAAGTAACTAGTTCCCGCTCATAGGATTTTGAGATGGTGAAGACAATTCGAAGGTCAGGTGGATGATTATGGTGGTGTTTCGTTCTCTGAGCTGGATGTTTTGGTTGTGGACAATTCATTGTTCTTCTGAACACCATCATCATCATCAGCAGCAGCAGTATTAACTTCAGATAGAAGTGATTGAGGTGAATAAGGCTGTTACGTCGAAGAATATCATTGTTTCGTCACTGTCGATTTCAATTGAGTTTAGTTTATCCAAGAATTGTGTGAAAGACTTCATGGAGTAGTTGGATTCATCCACCAGATGTTTTAATATCCTTGATAAGTTGTAGGTCGGGATTCCACGAAGGGATACAATTGAACGTAGTGAGATGTTGAGTTTGTGAGATTCCGGCCTACTGTAGAATCATGGAATTACTAGTCCATTGGATTTCATTCTCCATTGATCTTGTTTTGATATTTGTCCTGCTTTGACAAGCTTGTTTAAAGTCCTTGAGATTTTGTTGTCCAGCCTTCTGTCGTCAGTTAGTTCCTCAGCTTTCTTGATATATTCTTCACTTCCATATGAAGTTTGTGCTGATGATGTTGTTGTTCAGAAGAAGAACAATGAAAGCGCCACAACCAAAACATCCAGTTCAGAGTACGAAACGATACCATAACTAGCTCCGCATGAGTCTAGAGGGTCCCAGTATAAATTTTTAACCTCGTAGGGTAAAGCTGAATACTGTATTACCGTTTTTTAAATTAATTTTCTGTAATTAAAGAATATTATTGTTTTAGATGTCAAATAAGTTTTGTAAAAAACTGGTTACTAATTGGTGCTATTACGTCATAGTATTCTATCGGTGTAACTATAGTACCACTACTGAAATCCTGAATTTTGATCATTGTTAGACTACCACCGTTAGAAAACTGAAAGCACTGGACAACCAATTCGTCCTGCTATGGGACTACTCATCAGTGGCAGTGCGCATCCACGACTGCTGCCACTTACAGGATTCGAGCCCTAGGACTCTCGATTTTACATGGGAACGCCTAACCATTATCGAATATCTTTATTTGTCTATTAAGTTTCTTGATAGTACAGGACTCACTCATCAGTGGCATTGTGCTTACGCGAACCCTGCTTGTGAGAATCGAACCCAGGACCCTTGTTCTCTTACACGCGAATGCTTAACCTGTAGCCCACTAGGCTGATATCCAACAATGTTAATGTCTTTTAACTTTGATCAGTCCACGATCTTGTACAACGAGAGTCTAAGCGTTTGTTCATTCATAAACATAATATAATAATTTGTAAATGATCATTTTCAAACAAATATCAGTTTTTTACAAATAAAGAAATAGGGATCATTGTGTTTACACAGTCATTGTTAGACAACGACCATTCGAAACCTGGCCGTTTCACCCTAGTGTGGGACTCATCATCAGTGACCAGGATTTAAACCCAGGACTTCCGGTACTGCGCACGAACGCCTAATCTCTGTAACACTAGACCGGCATCTAATGGTGTTAATGTCTAACTCTAATTAATCTAGGATTTTCGCGTGACCTTATCCATTATTCTTCGCTAGTTACTGCCTCCGCCCAACACACGCTTGAACTCCACTGGTCATGTCTTCTCACTAGAATTCCAAGAATTTCCTCACGAAGCTAGTCACTAATGAACACATTGTACGATTCTTTCAACTGAAGTTATAGAGATCAATGTTTTTACACATTGAAATCATCAGCCAATCATAGTTAGACCACGTAGATTGATCACAGTTAGACATTAATCCCATTGATTACCGTCCGGTTCAGTGGTGTAGAGGTTAGGCGTTCGCGCACTATAACCGGTAGTCCTAGGTTCGAATCCTTTGTGTTGCAGCAGTAGTGGCTTCTCACTGCTGATGAGTCCTATGCCAGGATGAAACGGTTGTCTAAACAGTACTTCCAGGTTGTAGTAGTGTAGTGAATGAGATCACAGGTGGGGCAGCCGGTGTTACTCAGTAAAATAGGAAAACCATATCGTAAATCGTTCATTTGCAAAATATCAGTTCATCATATCGAACTGGGCTGACTGTTCCTGTTGCAAAACATCAATCCATTGTCACTATTCATGCGTTTCATACAAATTCCATTGTGTTCTAACTCTTCCTTCCTCTTGATCTTCCCCCATCCTCTTCTGCTGCCAGACATTACGTTAACACTTACATCATATACTACTTATAAGTAGCTCGCATCACAGTAGTACACTGACTACATTTTTACAAGTAGAATAATCTTAACTAAGAAGAATTCATTATGTTTTACAAAAAAATTCCAGTTGATAGATATCTTTACTTTCTTTCCTCTTTTTTTTGTTCACAGAATCAAACTCAAACTAAACAAACATACCCTATTCAATGATCAATACAATTTATCAAACAGAATCATTACAAATGGTTGATACAAATAATAATGCCCAAACTTCTTATGCAATGAATCAAGAATTAACTAAACCGCTAGTATTATTTCTTAATTGTAAGTGATTGCTTAATTGCTGTGATTTTCATACTGTAGTATCTGGTTCAACTTTCATTTTTTTCCATATTTACACCATACTACTTATTTTTCATGATTAGTGTTTTTACACACTGAAGTCATGAGTGAATCAGTGTTTGACCGTCATTGGAAACCTACAAGCACTGAACATCCGTTTCGTCTTGATATGGGACTCATTAGTAGCAGTGCGCCTGCATAACTTATGCTACTCGTAAGATTTGAGCTCAGGAGCATCGGTCTTGCTCGTGAACGCTCAACATCTGAACCACTGTGCCAGTATCCAACGGTGTTAATGTCTAACTCAGATCAATTTGAGTGGAGCTCAACCCTTTTGAGTGTAGGCAGTAACTATTGAAGACAAAAGGGGTGAAGTTGTGCAAAACCTTGGATTAATCAAAGTAAGAAATTAACACGGTTGGATGCCGTGCGGCTCAGTGGTCTAGAATTTAGCTGTTCTCCCTCGAAATGCAAAATGTTGCTTCAAGACTGGGTAGCATCAGCCCTTGAAGACGCTGACAAAATGCAGAGTCTTCTCACTACCATAAGCAACAATGCGAGCATGTTCGGGATGCGGTTCTCACCCTCGAAATGCAAAATGTTGATTCAAGATTGGGTTGCATCGGCACCTGAACTAGTGATAGGGAGTAAAGTAGTCGAGCGTGCTGATCGCTTCACTTATCTGGGGAGTCTCATCAGTGCTGACGGTCTGGTGACTGACGAAATCTCAGCTCGGATATAGAAGGCTTGATTGGCTTTTGCCAACCTGCGTCACTTATGGAGAAGGCGAGATGTTTGTTTGCTGACTAAAGGACCAGTGTACTGTGCAGTAGTTCGCTCCGTCTTACTTTATGGCTGTGAAACATGGCCGTTAAGAGTAGAAGATGTTCGTAGGTTACGAGCATTCGATCATAGATGTTTAAGAAGCATTGCTCGTATATCGTGGGACAACCGAGTAAGCAATGCTGTTGTTAGGAAACGAGCGCTAGGTAAGGATGGCAAATCAATAGATGAAGTAATGAAACTTCATCAGTTGAGGTGGTTGGGACATGTGTTACGTATTCCTAACCACCGACTGCCTCGACGAGCTATGTTTTGTGGTGTAGGAGTAGGTTGGAAGAAAGCTAGGGGCGGCCAGACCAAAACATGGCAGAAATGCATGAAGTCACTGACTAGTGGACTGAGTCATGTTGGTAGATGAAGACTACCTGGTTGGGGTCCGTGAGACGAAAGTCACCAATGGTTAGCGACCTTGAACGACATGACTCAAAATCGTTTGCAATGGCGCAAGTGCATCCATTCGTTGAGCTCTCTCAAATTCTAATCTTCTGGATTCGTCAGCACCTCTACCTTTGTCTTTCTAACCTTATCTCACTGAATTACACTTCTTGAATAATAACTTCAAACCCTAGTCTCCTTCATTACCAATAATACCTCTACTATCTGTATCACTATGGGATTTGATTTGATATTTGCGTCTCTGTGTTAATGTGGTATGGCAACATGAACTTATGTACATACTTACGAAGTTCTACGTTGCAACTGACTGACTGACAGCGCTTAAGACCGGAGATCCTGGGTCAGATTCTCATGAGCAGAAGTCGTGGATGCGCACTGCCACTGATGAGTTCCATACAAGGACGAAACCTCAGTTCAGTGTTAATGGGTTTCTAATGTTGGTCTGGCAATGATTGATTCATGATTTCAATAATATACTACTTATTATCAAAATGAACATTGTACTAGTATGAGTATGATTAAAAAATTACATATCATCACTTTGTAAGTAAATTTTTATCAGATTGTAAGGCAAACAACCGGTAATTTAATTCTTTGTTTATATTAGTTAAAATCTAAGTTCTTCTGTGATACTTTGTTTGATTTGCACCTTGAATATAGAACAAACTTTCCACTAAATTCAAAACTGATAGTTAGTTAGTAGTTCGTGAATTGACTCAGCCTGACGAGGACCGAAGACGATTGGTTGTTCATGATGAACAGGAGGAACAGCTGTTTCAAAAGTGAAATCATCAAATTTATGAAAAGAAATCAAGCAATTTAAGGATAAGGATATCAATACAACCATACTGTTTGCAAATCTATTTTGTATATTTAAGTGAACGTTTTCATCAAAGTGCCGTGGATAAATTTGCTACGGTCTGCTACGAGTAGAACAGACGGTATCGGTGTCAGCCTACACCAGTATAGTTGCATTTCCTTCCATGTTCGAAAACTTGTTGATAGAATCAAAAGCGCTGATAAGCATCGATGAGTACTCTCAGAATGGAATGTGGCAACTTCTCCCAAGTATACGTTATGCTCACACATTGTACACATATGTCAGTGACATACATATAGGCACAGATGAATGCAATCGCTAGCGTATGTTGTATATGAAAATGTTCAGACTATGTCGACTCATTCTGTTAGTTCACATGGGCATTGAAGTTTCCGTATGCAAGTATACATTTAATGCATATATATTGAGTGTATTGACCTGATTAGCGTTTTTTTTAGCGAGTTAGTTTTTTATTGGATTAGACCGCCAAACACATCATCGACCCTACTCGTTTATCCAGGCTTTGGACCGACAGTAGCTCCAGAGGGGCTCCAGGCGGAGTGTAATGACCGGAGTTCATATATTCTTAGAAGCACACAGGCCGTACGTAGTCTAGCGATATCTGCGATACTGAATAACTATCAAACAATCATATCAGCTTAACAAAAATAGGTTATCAGTTAATAATGCACACCTTCATGCTCATACTACAATAAGTGTTGCATACTGGCCCACTCCTGTCAGACCTAGTAATCTTATCTAGATGATAGAATCTAGACAGTACCAAATAGAAACTTCTTTGAGCACACTGGTAAAATGTAAAACTGTTCGACGCTTCGTTATTTTTCTGTATATCTGATGTGTTGTAATAGTGAAATGAAATTGTGATTGATCATTGAGCGTGGACAGACAGGTTACTCAGTCTACTGACTAATAAATATATGATTTCCTTTCTATGTTATCGATTGTTACTTTGAGTTCACCATGTGAAATGAAGTATTAACTATCGCTTACTTTTGTTCTGATATAACACGATCTAATCTCAGTTAACTGACAGTACAAATTCTATTACCTAGACTAGTCTCATTTTATCGTACTCACCTAGTAATATAGTTACTCAGTTTACCTACGTCTGTTACCCCCGATGGAGGATAGGACTCCAACCAGCATTCTTCAATCTACTTTGTCCTGAGACTTGTTTTCTAGTCCTACCCAACTGCTGATCATTCCTTTTTAATGTCTATTTCCTATTCTCGAAGCAGTGTGTTCTTTAGTTTTCCTCTATTCCTATCTATCACCTTGAGAGTTTCAAGTTAGTACTTGCCTTGTGACGCAGTTGAGTGATTTGCGCAATGTATGTCCCATTGACCTCCAACACTTTTTCCTGATTTCTTCGTCTGCTGGTATTCGGTTTTGTCCTATGTAACACTAAATTGTTGCTGATGGTGTCTGGCCAATGGATCCGGAGTATTTTGGATAGATAATTGTTAATAAACACTCGTATCTTATGGTTGATGGCTTTTGTAGTTCGCCAAGTTTCACTATCCGGATTATATATCGTGGTAGATGACAGTAGAATTCGGTGATGCATTTTTGAAACATCCCCTTTTAAACAAATGTTAATATTTTTTGTATTGAAAATTAAACTGTTTATCTTGTTTGTATCTTATAGTTTTAAAGAGTTATAATAGATTTATTCTTTTGGCTAATAGGAAACAACTGGATGGCTATAAATAATACTGAAATGTTTAAATCTCAAGTTTTTGTATAGTACTTATTAAGTTTCTAGTTTCAAGGACTGTCATTATATCTAATTTCTATATAATATCTAATATTACGGATGTATTACACTGTATTTTATATATTCACCGAGTTTACTAAATCGCGCTTACTCGAATGGACTCAACCTGAAGCCCTTCTAGGACTACTGCCGGTCCCAACCCGGATAAAGGGGAGGCGTTAGGCATGGGATTAGCAACCCCGGAAAAAAATCTGCTGGTCAGCGTGTAGTGAAGGAGAACACAGGTGAGGGCAACCGAATTGAATTTAACGAAAATTACAGAGTTACTCAGTAAAATAGGAAAACCATATCGTAAACCGTTGTTAATTTGCAAATCTTCAATCAATCATCAATCCATTGTCTGACATTTCACTTATTCATGCGTTTCATACAAATTCCATTGTGTTCCCCCCAACTCTTCCTTTCTTGATCTTGCCCCATCTTCTGCTGCCAGACATTACGTTTACACTCGCGTCATATACTACTTATAAGTAGCGCGCACCACATGCGGCCTAGACTCCATTAGGTGTAACAGGCGTAAGTAAGTTAGAAAGTAAGTAAGTAAGTAAGTAAGTAAGTAAGTAAGTAAGTATGGGTACTCGAACGATACATCATCACACAAAGACTAGATTACGTTAAACCAGAATAATCAATAGACAATATTATATCCCACAACCGAGTGAGCAATGCTGTCGTTAGGAAACGAGTACTAGGTAAGGATGGGAGAGCAATAGATGAACTGGTGAAACTTCATCAGTTGAGGTGGTTGGGACGTCTTGCGTATGCCTAACCACCGACTGCCTCAACGCGCTTTGTTTTGTAGTGTAGGAATAGGTTGGAAGAAAGTTAGGGGCCGAAAAACCAAAACATGGCAGAAATCCATGAAGTCATTGACGAGTAGACTTAGCCATGTCGGTAATTGTCGACTACCTGATTGGGGTCCGTGAGATGGTAATAATCGATAGTCAGAGACCTTGAATGACATGGCTCAAAATCGTTCGCAATGGCGCCGTTGCATTTATTCTTTGTGTTCTCTCAAATCCTAGTCTTCTGGATTCTTCAACACCTCTATTTTTGTCTTTCTAACCTCATCTCACTGAATCATACTTCTTGAATAATATCTTCTAATCCTAACCTCTCCGA